TTGCATCTTTTTAAAGTTTGGTTTTGCATCTACTTATAGTATTTTGCATCTTTTTTATGGTGGTTTTGGCATCAATTTTGTAATTTTGCTTCTATTTCAGTAGTTTTGTATATTTTTATGCTGGTTTGCCTCTAATTCAGTAGTTTTGCATCTGTTTGAGTTATTTATTGATATATTACTATCACTAGTAATTACATGTATAAATACCATGGAGACATGATTAACATACCAGGATCAAAAGCAGCTCTTAAAAGCCCTAACATGCCGTTATAGCAAACCAGCTTATTTCATGTAATCCCCGCTAAACCGACAGAACCCCTCAGGAGCTCCAGCTGAGGCGTTAGATTTCAATGTTTCAATATTCCAATCGGCTTGTTCCTGCAGGTTGGAGGTCGGCATGGCGGAGCAGTCGGACCCCGAAGATGCCGGTGAGACACTATTTACACTATTTACTCTTTTACTACTCACTACCCTAGATACGTCACACTCAAAAAAATACTTTAAAAATCACTCAAAACAATAAATCAGCGTAGTTATTAAAAAACTTAATCCAGGATCAAACTCACCCTCAGTTAGTTTAGTTTCCACTCCTCTTCATCCTCCTTGTTTCCTCACCTCAGCATATTTTCATATAATAAATAATTCATCAGCGATGCCTGTAAAGTATACATTCATCCCCCACACCACAACACACCACACACACACACACACACACACCACACACACACCACACACACACAAACACACACACACACACACACCACACACACACACACACACACACACACACACACACACACACCACACACACACAACCACACACACACACACACACACACACACACACACACACACACACACACACACAACACACACACAACACACACACACACACACAAAATCCAGTCTAACTCCAACACTGAGCTCATTCAATTATATTTTAACAATGTCTCCTGTCTCCTGTCTCCTATCTCCTGTCTCCTGTCTCCTATTCCTGTCTCCTGTCTCCTGCTTCCTCTCTCCTCTCTCCTGTCTCCTCTCTCCTGCTTCCTCTCTAACGTCTCCTCTCTCCTCTCTCCTCTCTCCTTCACAGCGTCAGAGAGAGATATCTACATGCGCTTCATGAAATGTCACAAATGTTACGACATAATTCCCACCAGCTCCAAACTGGTGGTTTTCGACACCACTCTGCAGGTATTACCATTATTATTATTATTTAGCACTTCAAAACCTTTATATATACAGTCTATGCTTCAAAACACATTCTATTATTATTGTTGTTATTGTTTCAGGTGAAGAAGGCGTTCTTTGCTCTGGTGGCCAACGGAGTGAGAGCTGCTCCACTGTGGGAGAGCAAGAAACAGAGCTTTGTAGGTGAGTGTGTGTGTGTGTGTGTGTGTGTGTGTGTGTGTGTTGTGTGTGTGTGTGTGTGTGTGTGTGTGGTGTGTGTGTGTGTGTGTGTGTGTGTGTGTGTGTGTGTGTGTGTGTGGTGTGTGTGTGTGTGTGTGTGTGTGTGTGTGTGTTGTGTGTGTGTGTGTGCTAAATATAGACATGTTCTCGAAATCTTTGTGAATATTACAACAGCCTGAGGAGATGAAACACACTGTCATACACACACACACACACACATACACACACACACACACACACACACACACACACAGTTACACTCACAGATCTCTCTTTTTTTTTTCAGGAATGCTGACGATCACAGACTTCATCAACATCTTAACCAGATACTACAAATCCCCCATGGTAACACACACACACGCACACACACACACACACACACACACACGCGCGCACGCACGCACGCACGCACGCACGCACTCACGCACGCACTCACTCACGCACGCACGCACTCACGCACTCCGCACGCACGCACGCACCACCACACACACACACACACACACTCACTAACATGTTCTGTGTCTCCTTCAGGTTCAGATCTACGAGCTGGAGGAACACAAGATCGAGACATGGAGAGGTGTGTGTGTGTGTGTGTGTGTGTGTGTGTGTGTGTGTGTGTGTGTGTGTGTGTGTTGTGTGTGTGTTGTGTGTGTGTGTGTGTGTGTGTGTGGTGTGTGTGTTGTGTTGTGTGTGTTGTGGTGTGTGTGTGTGTGTGTGTGTGTGTGTGTGTGTGTGTGTGTGTGTGTGTGTGTGTGTGTGTGTGTGATAATGACATTCCTTTCTCTTCATGTAGAGCTGTACCTGCAAGAGACCTTCAAACCTCTGGTCCACATCTCACCTGAAACCAGGTATGTGTGTAAATGAGACAAGGAAAAGGAAACAAGGAGAGAAGGAAATGAGATGAGAGGAGAAAATGGATAGGAGAGGTAATAAGGAGAGGAAACAATAAGAGGAGAATAGGTGAGGTGAGGAAAGGGGGAGAGGAAAGGAGAACAAGGGGATGAGAGAAGGAGAGGAAACAAGGACAGGAGGAGAAAGGCAAAGGACACAAGAGGAGGAAACAGGCCAAGGAGATGAGGTGAGGAGACAAGAAGACAGAAAACAAGTAGGTGAGAACACAAGAGGAAACAAGGATAGGAAACAGGAGAAGGAAGCCGACAGTTGAACCCCACCTCCTTTAACTCTCATTACATCACTATCCTCCTCTCCTCTCTCCTCCTCCTCTCAGTCCTCTCCTCTCTCCTCTCTCTCCTCGCTCTTCCTCGTCTCTCTCCTCTCTCCTCTCTCCTCTGCTCCGTCTCTCCTCTCTCCTCTCCTCTCTCCTCTCTCCATCTCCTCTCTCCTCTCTCCTCTCCTCCTCTCCTCTCTCCTCTCTCTCTCTCTCTCTCCTCTCTCCTCTCTCCCTCAGTATCTTGGAGGCGGTGTCCTCTCTGATCCAGAATAAGATCCACCGTCTGCCGGTCATCGACCCGATCAGCGGGAACGCTCTTTACATCCTGACTCACAAGAGGATCCTCAAGTTCCTGCAGCTGTTTGTGAGGAAACGTGTTCATATTAAACAACAACAACAACAACAACTTTCTGCAGCAGATATTTATATATATGAATATTGATCTCCCTGTATTTGCTCCCAGGTGTGTGAGATGCCGATGCCGGCCTTCATGCGCTGCTCTCTGGAGGATCTGAGCGTTGGAACGTACTCCAACATCGCGTTCGTGCACCCCGACACGCCTCTCATCACGGCGCTCTGCGTCTTCACCCGCCGCCGCGTCTCCGCCCTGCCCGTTGTCGACCACAACGGTAACAACACGCCGTTAAAATGCTGACTTTCTGTGATTGAATCCTGACTTCCTGTCTGTGTTGTTCTGCAGGGCGAGTGGTCGACATCTACTCCAAGTTTGACGTCATTGTGAGTAAATCTAGAATTGTTATATATCAAGGATATAAGAGGAGAGGAAACAAGGAGAGGAAACAAGGATATAGGAGGAAACAAGACTTGGAGGAAAAGTGGAAACAAGTGTTGTGTTCACTATTTAAGGAAGTGTAGGAGATCTAAGTGTGTGTGTGTGTGTGTGTGTGTGTGTGTGTGTGTGTGTGTGTGTGTGTGTGTGTGTGGTGTGTGTGCTGTGTGTGTGTGTGTGTGTGTGTGTGTGTGTGTGTGTGTGTGTGTGTGTGTGTGTGTGTGTGTGTGTGTGTGTGTGTGTGTGTGTGTGTGTGTGTGTGTGTGTGTGTGTGTGTGTGTGTGTGTGTGTGTGTGTGTGGTGTAGAACCTGGCAGCAGAGAAGACGTACAACAACCTGGACGTCACGGTGACTCAGGCGCTTCGCCATCGATCGCAATACTTTGAAGGCGTCATGAAATGTAACAAAAGAGAAACACTGGAGACCATCGTGGACCGTATCGTGAAAGCAGAGGTACACACACACACACACACACACACACACACACACACACACCTGCTGATGTTCAGGTGTATATCAGTATGTAGTGTCTCTACTTTAAAGAGTCCTCTCCTGCTGATGTTCAGGTGTATATCAGTATGTAGTGTCTCTACTTTAAAGAGTCCTCTCCTGCTGATGTTCAGGTGTATATCAGTATGTAGTGTCTCTACTTTAAAGAGTCCTCTCCTGCTGATGTTCAGGTGTATATCAGTATGTAGTGTCTCTACTTTAAAGAGTCCTCTCCTGCTGCAGGTCCACAGGTTGGTGGTGGTCGATGAAGAGTCTCGTATTGTCGGCATCGTCTCTCTGTCAGACATCCTGCAGGCGCTGGTGCTCATCCCCACAGGTAAACAACAACAAAGCTGTTGTTATTGTTTATTGTTATAGCTGAGAGCAGCGCTACGTCACTTCCTGGGGAAAACAACAATGTAACGATTTCTTCACTTTCACTGAGATCACAGGTCAGAGACATCTGTGGCTATCATGTTGTTGTTGTTGTTTTTGTTGTTATTGTTTATTGCTATAGAGAGCAGCGCTACGTCAACAATCAGAGCCAATCAGAAGACAATATTTGTATCATTTCTAAAAACTGCTGAGTCATGTATTACACGTTAGACAACAAACTGTATAATACTGTTGTTGTTGTTGTTGTTGTTTTCTGCAGGGTCAGGGAGGAAGGAGTCTCTCCCCCCTCAACCTGACACCTGCCAGCAGGGGGAGACAGAGGAGGAAGGAAAGGGGGAGACAGAGGAGGAAGGAAAGGGGGAGACAGAGGAGGGAGGAAAGGGGGAGACAGAGGAGACAGAGGAGGAAGGAAAGGGGGAGACAGAAGAGACAGAGGAGGAAGGAAAGGGGGAGACAGAGGAGACAGAGGAGGAAGGAAAGGGGGAGACAGAAGAGACAGAGGAGGAAGGAAAGGGGGAGACAGAGGAGGAAGGAAAGGAGGAGACAGAAGAGACAGAGGAGGAAAGAAAGGGGGAGACAGAGGAGACAGAGGAGGAAGGAAAGGGGGAGACAGAGGAGACAGAGGAGGAAGGAAAGGGGGAGACAGAGGAGGAAGGAAAGGGGGAGACAGAAGAGACAGAAGAGGAAGGAAAGGGGGAGACAGAGGAGACAGAGGAGGAAGGAAAGGGGGAGACAGAGGAGACAGAGGAGGAAGGAAAGGGGGAGACAGAGGAGACAGAGGAGGAAGGAAAGGGGGAGACAGAAGAGGACGGAAAGGGGGAGACAGAGGAGGAAGGAAAGGGGGAGACAGAGGAGGAAGGAAAGGGGGAGACAGAGGAGGAAGGAAAGGGGGAGACAGAGGAGGAAGGAAAGGGGGAGACAGAGGAGGAAGGAAAGGGGGAGACAGGTGAAGCAGAAAAGGGGGAGACGGGGGAGGAAGCGTGACACCATCATCATCACTGCCGCTCAATTGGAGCAGAAGAAGAAGGGGCGGGCTCAACGAGAGCGCTACACAGAGGCTGACGTGTGATTGGCCGGGAGGCTCCGAGAGTCCGTTTGTCATTGGCCGTCGGTTGGAGAGAAGTCGTTAAAGGGCTGTGATTGGACAGCTGCTCTGGAAGTGGGCGGGACATCACACAGCGAGAGCCAATCAGGGATCTTTGATTGTTTTTAAACACAGAAATGTACCATTCTGATTGGTTGAGAGTTTTAAATCAATAAATCGTGATAAAAACAATAGTTTATATTCCAGGAAATCACTGAAACACTGACATTACAGTGATCTTAAATATTAAAATACTACTCACTGTAGGATTGTATTGTTTTATAGTAGGTGTTATTTTGGTGTCAAATTTTAAATCTGTACAGAAATAGATTTTATTAAGTTAAAGTATTTATAGTTTCTAGTGAATATTTAATAACCTGTTTCTAATTACATGTTTTTAAAAACCGCTGTTGTTTGTAGAGGAATGAACCTTTAATTCAGCTCCAAAATAATAAACTTTAACCTAAAAATGTACTGTATATGTTGCTGTTGTTAAAGACAATGAATAAAAACATTCTCCTTTTTAAAGTGTCTTGTTTTACTGCTTTAGACTCACTCAGACCCTCATATTCAAATACTATATTGCAAACCATACTACCAAAAGGTTAGCATGCACGCTAAGCCCCGCTATGGGACAATATTTCGGAAAAACGTTAGTCAACAACGACCCCATTTGTGCCACAAAAAACCCAAATGATGTTTTAAAGGGGACCTGTCATGCGAAATGCACTTTCTGATGTCTTTTCTACATCAAGGTGTCCCCGGTGTGTGTCCCCGGTGTGTCCCGGTGTGTCCCCGGTGTGTGTCCCCGGTGTGTCCCGGTGTGTCCCGGTGTGTCCCCGGTGTGTGTCCCCGGTGTGTCCCGGTGTGTCCCCGGTGTGTCCCGGTGTGTCCCCGGTGTGTCCCCGGTGTGTCCCCGGTGTGTCGGGGAACTCACGCAGCGTCAGAAAATAAAACCCTCTCTCTTTTCCTCCGTACTCAAATCTCTAAAAACGGGGGAACAACGGAGCTGATCCAGATTTGCGTCCGATATGACGTAATATCTGAAATGTGGACCCACGGCCCAATCAGAAACGTTGCTATCAGAAACAATGCCCGACTGTTTTGGACGTAATATGGTCGGTGTTTACATTAGCATCGCTAGCACTCAGAGCTAACCTGTACTGGAGAGCATGTGTGTGAAGAAGCAGGAAATAAAAAGGAACTCACCTTGTGGTATAACCGGCAAGAGAGAAAGCCTTTGAGCTCCATACTGTTTCAGAGATACATATAGACCGCTATAAGCTAATTATAATGCATTATAAACACGTTTTTGATGCATTTAGGAAACAGGAAACACAACTGGAGTCAGTGTAAAATGATTTGACAGTATTTATTGATTATTTCCATATACAAAAAGATAAAATTGAATTAACCCTTTTTTTTCTACAGTGATGTTTGTGTGTGTGTGTGTGTGTGTGTGTGTGTGTGTCTGCACTGAGGACTAACTACATTCATTGATACGATAATGACCCTGGCACTGGGTGTAGAGGAAGATAAGAGACACAAAGAGATATACAATTTATGAAAATAGATAAGAAAAGACACCACACACACACACACACACACACACACACACACACACACACACACACACACACACACACACACACACACACACACACACACACACACACACACACACGTTACAGTGCACGTAGAAAATGAAACAACAGGAAGGGACAGTAACGGGGCTTTTATTTTCTTAAACTGTAGTACTTCCTGTCTGGGTAATGTCTCCCACCTGCTCTACATATATATTTATATATTTTAAATACCAAAAAACCTCTTCCAGTCCAAAAAAAGACCAGGTTGTTGTTGTTTTTGTTGTTTTTACAGTAATGAAAACCAGACATACAGATTTTTTTTTTTTTTCATAGCGTGTTAAAATCAGTAGTCTGTCTGTGTTCTACAGTTGAGCTACAACAGTGAAATATAAGGTACAAGATTTACATTTCACACCATCATCATCATCTTCATCATCATCATGGGTTTAAAGATGGCCGCCTCTCAGTTTGTGCACATGGTCATGTTTTTATTATTGTTAGAATATGTTGTACGTTTCTATTTAATTATCATTCAATGAAGTTATAGCGTACGATAAATAACATTCATAGTATTTTCACGTCTTTTTGGGCACCTAATGCTAATATGCTAATGCTAATTAACACAACATATGTTTCTCTTAAAGGGACAGTGTGCAGGATTTAGCTTTAGATGAATATTTTTGGCATTTTCAAATTGAAATACAACGCACCGGCCCTTTAAGGTAGTCTAGAGTAAATATCCAAAATGATCAATAATTAATGTTTGAGGTAAAATAAAGAGACATACGCTTGTTGTTTTTAGTGAACAGCGTCGAGGCAGCCATCTTTACACACCTGTGTGCTCAGGTAAAGGTCTGTTAATGAGAAACCCCTGACAACATGCCTTGGAAACCCCAATATAAAACATAGTATGGAGTCTGGAAGCTGTGTTTTCAGAGCAGAGGACTTTTGTTTTGGAGATTTATGGCCCAAAAACCAAGATGTCGACAAACCAAAAGTCCAAATGGAGAAATTGTCTCCACTGGATGTTTGGAGTCAAACAACGCTCTGCTGTCAGGGGGTCTATATTACTACATGTGTGATACAGATACCCATATGTCCTTGACTAAGGCCCAAAACAACAAAGACTTTAAGATGTTCAGAAGAAACTCTCCTCACACGCACTTTAAAGGCCGCGAAGATGGAAGCATCTTTTGCACTATAAGCGAAAACGAGCTTGTGACTTTTATTTTGAAAGGAAGGGACGCCTTGTCCTCTCGCTCTTTAGCATTGAGGCTCAAAACAACCCTCACATCCATCAGCACCAAATCATCTGGTTTCACAGCATGTTTGTTTACCTTTGTTAGCCAACATCGCTAGCTTCGTAGCTTCTGTATCAGTGCCCGAATCTGTCAATTTATTCATAATTTATGTTGAATAAAAGTCAGATGTATACAAACACAAAGTCTTGTTTATTGTTTACTTTTGTAGTTTTTTTGCCAAAATGCTGCAATTACTGTCACTGTGTTTGTACGTTCTGCAGCTAGCATTGTCGCTATGCTAACATCTGAAACTGTCTACTTATTTATCACTTAGAAAAGTAAGATGTATATAAAAGTCTTCAAATACTGTCTTGTTCAAACATAACATTTTGAGCGGAGCGTAAAAGTTGTTTGCAGGACTTTGAAATGCATTTAGACGCTAAAACAGCTACAGATTTTGCGTAATTTTAAGCTAACAGCGATAGTTCTAGTGCTCATCACATCCAGTCAAATCAAAGTAAAGTTTGAGCGAGAGGAAGAAGGCGACGCTATCTCCTTTCAACAATAAAGTCTCACCTCGCTGTGTATTAAGTCACCGTAAAGTCACTACTATTCGCTTTGAGTGTGATATGTTAGCCAACGCAATGCTAACAGCACGAGCTAGCTCTCGCTGTGTTGTTTTATCGACATGAGGATGTTTTGAGTTACTGTGTTAGCACTTGGATAAGTTAGCACTTGTTAGCATTCAACACACTGGTCCCCATTATTCATCGTACCCACTGGTTTCACTGCTAACAATGCTAACTGATGTCTGAATGCTAAATGTAGTAGCATTTCCCCCACAGCGCGACACTTTTTGAAGGTTTCCTGTTGTATTTGTTATTAAACCAGACATGTGAAAATGACGCCGTTTTTTTCCGATTCCTGAACGATAATGTTTCTTTCCCGAACTCACCGCCTACCGTCGCTCACTGTTTCTGCCCGTGTGGCTTTAATGAGGTAATATGTTCCTGAAAAACACCTGGAAACACCTGGATCTGAGTGAGAACAACAACCCCTGCACACAGGTACAAAAATACATTTAATATAATAATAGAAATTAAATTATTGCAGGTTTTCTCAAGATTGACGTCCAGAATCTTAATCATGATCATTTCCTTCTGATTTAATCGGATATTTTACATGTATTTTGATACTACATTCATTGGAGGGACAGAAGAAGGAAGCAAATGAAGTTGAGTAAGGAGAGAAGGAAAGGAAATTAGTCAAGAGGAGAGGAGGTAATTACATTTGATGCAACTGGAAGACGAAAGATATTACATTTAAAGAGACAGGAAGTTAGAAAGGAAAGATGGTGGAGAAAGGGAGTTCAATAGAGACAAGAAAAGGAAAGGAGACAAGGAGGTAAGGAAACAAGTAGAAGAAAGGACACACGTGGTAAGGAAAGGAGATGAGATTAGAGATAAGGAGATATTAGCCGTGTTTTCATTCACATGAATTAACCAGATTTAGTTTTTGCATTGTACGTTTCTGTTAAATGTCAACGTCAACTAAATAACGTTTCATATCACGCTCGCAGAAACGCACAATGCCACGTGGTGAACGTCGTGAAATGATGGTGAGGTTTAGGCAACAAAATGACTTGGTTAAGGTTAATTAAAAAGTTCAAAAACCAAGATAAACTTAGCGATGGTGACGACTAATGTTGGAAACCAAGATGTTGGCGACTAAAAGTTAGGGTTTAAAATTCACTTGACAGTTGAATGAATACACAACTAATAAGAAGGAAAGGAAACATTAGGAGAAAGGAGAAGGAGGAAAGCAAGAAGGAGGTAACAAGGAGAAGGAGGAAGGTAACAAGGAGATGGAGGAAGGTAACAAGGAGATGGAGTAAGGTAACAAGGAGAAGGTAACAAGGTGAGGATTACAGATACTAAACGATAAGACAAAATGGAAGTCCAGCTCAGTCCAGGTGCTTTTATGATTTCGGCAGTTCAGTTCAGTTCAGTCTAAAAAACAAACACTTTATTTACTATTTACAAGTCGGAGGTTCGAGTCTCGCTGTCGCTTTTCTTCTTCAATCAGTTTGGAGATTTTTATGTATAAAAGAAAAACGGATAAAAAGCTCACAATAACATATAGAAACAGAACGTAGAAAAGTCTTCTGAGGTATTTGTGGTGTTTGAGGTGATCTGTGGTTCATGAGAAGTATTGATGTGGGTCTGTTCTCCTGGCTTTCTCTCTATTCTCTCTGAGCGCCGAAACGCCCCACGCTCCTCGAACGCCTCCTCTCAACATCCCTGACTCGACACAGAGCGTTGAGTTCAAGTCAACAATAATTAAAAAAAGGAAAATACAGAAATATATTCATCATCTTCATCATCATCATCAGCAGCATCGTAGACATTCACTGTTTACACGTATGGCATCACAGAAACAAACAAACAAACAAACACATGTTTTTGTTTCCAGTTCGTTATTGACAGTGATGACGCGGGTTCTTTACGGTTCTGAACTGGACTCTGAGCGGCCGTTTTGCAGCGGCTTTGGTCCCGGTTTATGGAAATACAAAAAGAACAAGAGATGACCGTTGACCTCCACCAAATCCTACCTTTGTTGACAGGTACAGGTGCTGAAAAATCCCATGTTCAGACACAAACGTTACCTTTTTATCTGCACACTAATATCCCATGTTTATTCAGAATTGATCGCGTGTATCTGGAATAAGTTACGGCTCACGTGAACGGTATTAAACTTGGCTAAAAGTGGTACTTTTTAAAGACCAGAAAGTGACGATGTGCTGCCTTCAATGCATTTCTTCTTCAGATAATTAGTTTGCTCTAAATTCTAGTCAACAAAGAGTCTTAATGGACATTTCATTTTTCCGTTTTCGTTATGTTGTACGACTTTAGGGGATGCTGTACGTTCATTCATTTGACATATTTAAGATCATATATTAGGATTTATTAACACTGTAATAATGCTAGAAGCCCTGTTAGCTACTGCTGCAAGACATTTTAGTTTGTGTGTACATTTGAGTACAATGCAGTATTTCTTTAGCAATATTTATGTATTGTCTTTATTGACATGTTAATGAGGAGGTGTGACAGTAAACAGTGAATCTTACCTCCACGATGTCTTCATTGTGTAACTTGGTGTTTACAGCAGAGTTTACACACACTGCATGAGGACACTTTTAGATTCACAATTTGTGGTCAGATCCAAATTACACCAAGTTGGAAATGTCTTGCAATCGCAGTAGTTGTGTACAAAAACTATTTTAAATAGACGTCGAAGTCATACGTAATTGGACTAGTTTTCCTAATGTTTATAGGTATTAGTTTCATTTAAAAGTAGTACCTAAGACTTAAAGTCAGAGTATGCACAGTTGGAGAATGCTAATTATTTTAAGACGTGAAACAGCTTAAAAATAATATTGTAATTGTCAGAATAAGTGCTAAAAATTGGATATTTTCTGCATGTAAACAACCAGATTCCTGCAGTGTTGCAGCTCAACCACAAGGGGGCGATGTTGGAGGAGGTCAAAGGTGTAAGACACAATAAATCAATCAGCACGGACAGTATAAAATCTAAATAAAAAGAGTCACTTTGTGTGACTGTGTTCACATTGTACCCCACACACACTTACTCTCTCTCACACACACACACACACTCACACACACACACACACACACACTCTCACACTCACACACACACACACACACACACTCTCACACACTCCGACCTGAATGCATTTCTGTACATTTCGAGGTCTTGCACCGTATTTTAAGGGAAAACACTTTTCCCCTTGTTTGGGCACCTTTGCTAATTTACATATTCAGGACAGCCAATAGGCTTTGAGCACCCTCAGATAAGCCCCTCCCACTTCCTGTTGGCCGCGGCTCTTCTCAACGGGGAAAACGTTCTTCGTGTCACGTTTTAAATCGTCCCCCTGACCCCTCCTTCTTGTAGGTTACCTGAGAAGTTCCTTTTCCAAACCAACCAAACGCTGTGGCTTTTCGCCGTCGGCCAATCAAATCCCGCCATTCGAAACGTTTACTTCCTGAAAAAGGTCAGTCTTTAACCTCAAATCTGAACACGAAGACGAGAGGAAACCTGTTTGTTTTGCAACCCGTTGGATCCGAAGGTTTGTTGCGTGTGAATCGAAGCGTTTGGGAAAATAAAATCCAAGAAAGATGTAGAAAAACCCAAAATGTGGAGAGTCTGTATTCTGTTGCGTAACAGTCTTCTGCAGCATCGTAGTAAAAAACGGTAAGTCAATGGTAGATAAATCCAGTGTTAGAAGATGAACGGTAGAAATCTGCGAAAGTAAAGAAAAGTCGTCGCTGAGGTACTTCTGAGATTAAGAGCATTCACTGAGTCGGACCTGGATGCTGTTTCCGTGGGTTTGGTTTAAAAAAATAAGAATAAAATGACTCTGAGAGTAGAAACGAGGACGTGTGCGCTGGTTAGATTCGTCCCCAAAAAAGGACGAGGAAAAAGAAAAGTCCAGAGAGTTTAAATAGCAGCTGCTTTCCACTGAGAAAAATGTGTGTGTGTGTGTGTGTGTGTGTGTGTGTGTGTGTGTGTGTGTGTGTGTGTGTGTGTGTGTGTGTGTGTGTGTGTGTGTGTGTGTGTGTTCACAGGAAGTAGAGCTCTCCTCAGATGCTGGACTCTTTGGGGGGGGGGTCCACGTTGGTCACCATGGAGGGAGGAAGTGAGGTCACCAAAAGGGCGTTGAGGTCGGAGGTCGGCGGCGTCACGATGTTAGCCTTCAGGCGGCGAATCGATGAAATTCTCTCCTCGACGCAACCTGCGGAAAGACGAGCCTCGGCGTCGTGATCCCAGCATTCCTCCGCCGTCTCGCAGATCTGAGCCAATCCCTGAGGAGGAAACAGGAAGCGAGACGGTCAGGACGCTTAATAAAGGATGTTTTTAAGTTGAATACTAGATTCTGATCCTGTCCATACATCAATAAGTACCGTATTGACCCGAATATAAGACAGGTTTTGTTTCCTAGATAAAAATCTGAAAAAGGGTTCGTCTTATATTCGGGGTCTAGACTTTTTGATGTAATTACACAGTCACAACAACAGATGGCGCCAAAACGAGTGTTTCCTCAGAGCGACACCGTAACAGTACAACAGGAGAGAGAGAGATGGAGACACAGAGACCCTGGTTGCGGTCGAATAGTCCGTTTAGCTCAGGAACCTTCCTAACGGAGTGAAATGACCCGAAGTCCCTCAGTGGCAGCCATGATAAGAGCCGCTCCAATTCTCTAGATGAATGGAAAGGAGGTTTCAAACTTCCTTTATAACCTCCTTTAGCTTAGGAACCACTGGACCTCCCTTGACGAAAGGAGAGGAGAAAGTGCTGCCCCACAATGCCTTGCAGCCGCGGCATTTGCCGTCACACAACAGTCGGCCGTTCACGGAAACAACCGATTATGAACGAGAAATGATATCATGAAAGTTACGGTGCTTATTAAGCATTTTAAAACGTATGTGGTAAGTTGCCAAAGTGCTTTGTTTTGAACGTTCATCAGTATTATAATCTAAAAGAGAAATATGAACGTTAGTTTTTACTGAAATGATCAAATAAAGTCAACATTTCACAGTCTTTACTGAGCTGTGTGGGGTTTGTTCAACTTTTAAAAGATGTTTGAATGGTGATATACACAGTGATAGATGTTAAGGACTAACGTTTATAATAAATACATTTGTATTGATTTGAAGATCTTTTCATACAATCATACGTATTGGGATCATTTGTATTAATGTGGACCGGAGGGAGAGGGTGACGAGCATAAGTTTCACTTTCCTTTTTTATTTCAATTCCAACTTTGGTCATGAAGAATATGTTTCTCTGTTGTCCCCGTTCATAAAGCATAACAGCATCAGAGCACGGTGCAGAGTCTCTAGATGAGTTTACAGTAGTCCCTCGTTCTTATTAAACATCCATGTTGTAGTCCGCTGTATAGAAAACTGTAGTTTCCATAGTTTCCCCACAGCAGCAGACGCACATTCATGACGTCCGCTGGCGCATCATAAACACGTCGGATAGTGGAAGTGCAGTCGATTCTCTAAAGTACCGCAGTCTCTTCTCCTAAGTCCTTTTGAATTCTCCTATCCACTATCCCTTAACCCCGTGACCTTTCACTCAGAGGTCAAGGGATAGACGATAGAGATAGACGATGGGGATAGACGACAGGGATAGACGTTAGGGATAGACGATAGGGATAGACGATAGACGATAGGGATAGACGTTAGGGATAGACGATAGGGATAGACGATAGACGATAGGGATAGACGATAGGGATAGACGATAGGGATAGACGATAGGGATAGACGATAGGGATAGACGATAGGGATAGACGATAGGGATAGACGATAGACGATAGACGATAGGGATAGACGATAGGGATAGACGTTAGGGATAGACGATAGGGATAGACGATAGACGATAGGGATAGACGATAGGGATAGACGATAGACGATAGGGATAGACGATAGGGATAGACGATAGGGATAGACGATAGGGATAGACGATAGACGATAGGGATAGACGATAGGGATAGACGATAGGGATAGACGATAGACGATAGGGATAGACGATAGGGATAGACAATAGGGATAGACGATAGGGGATAGACGATAGGGATAGACGATAGGGATAGACGATAGACGATAGGGATAGACGATAGGGATAGACAATAGGGATAGACGACAGGGATAGACGATAGGGATAGACGATAGGGATAGACGATAGACAATAGGGATAGACGATAGGGATAGACGATAGGGATAGACGATAGGGATAGACGATAGGGATAGACGATAGACGATAGGGATAGACGATAGGGATAGACAATAGGGATAGACAATAGGGATAGACGATAGGGATAGACGATAGACGATAGGGATAGACGATAGGGATAGACAATAGGGATAGACGACAGGGATAGACGATAGGGATAGACGATAGGGATAGACGATAGGGATAGACGATAGACAATAGGGATAGACGATAGGGATAGACAATAGGGATAGACGACAGGGATAGACGACAGGGATAGACGATAGACGATAGGGATAGACGATAGGGATAGACGATAGGGATAGACGATAGACAATAGGGATAGACGATAGGGATAGACGATAGGGATAGACGATAGGGATAGACGATAGGGATAGACAATAGGGATAGACGACAGGGATAGACGACAGGGATAGACGACAGGGATAGACGATAGACGATAGGGATAGACGATAGGGATAGACAATAGGGATAGACGACAGGGATAGACGACAGGGATAGACGATAGACGATAGGGATAGACGTTAGGGATAGACAATAGGGATAGACGATAGGGATAGACGACAGGGATAGACGATAGACGATAGGGATAGACGATAGGGATAGACAATAGGGATAGACGATAGACGATAGGGATAGACGATAGGGATAGACGACAGGGATAGACGACAGGGATAGACGACAGGGATAGACGACAGGGATAGACGATAGGGATAGACGATAGGGATAGACGATAGGGATAGACGATAGATAGGGATAGACGATAGGGATAGACGATAGGGATAGACGATAGGGATATACGATAGGGATAGTCGATAGGGATAGACGATAGATAGGGATAGACGATAGGGATAGACGATAGGGATAGACGATAGGGATAGACGATAGGGATAGACGATAGACGATAGGGATAGACGACAGGGATAGACGTTAGGGATAGACGATAGACGATAGGGATAGACGACAGGGATAGACGATAGACGATAGGGATAGACGACAGGGATAGACGATAGGGATAGGCGATAGGGATAGGCGATAGGGATAGACGATAGGGATAGACGACAGGGATAGACGTTAGGGATAGACGATAGGGATAGACGATAGGGATAGACGACGGGGATAGACGACGGGGATAGACGATAGATGATAGGGATAGACGATAGGGATAGACGATAGATAGGGATAGACGATAGATAGGGATAGACGATAGATAGGGATAGACGATAGGGATAGACGATAGACGATAGGGATAGACGACAGGGATAGACGATAGGGATAGACGATAGATAGGGATAGACGATAGATAGGGATAGACGATAGATAGGGATAGACGATAGGGATAGACGATAGGGATAGACGATAGGAGCAGATTTTTGGACTATTCGACTGCAGCCCAACTCCAACAAAGTGGATCAAAAGTAGGCAAGTTAATAAACAAGAGAGGCCAAGTTACGATGCCAATTTTAAGTGGTGTTCAAAGAAGTCATCAAAGAACTGTCGAGCAGCAAAGAAATATGGAGTTACTGAGAGTAACGTTAGAAGATGGAGAGCCCAAAAAGAGCTTGAAAAAGAGGGGTCTTCTTATATTCGGGTCAATATGGTACTCTTTACAAGATTTAGTTAAATACTCGATTCTGATTGGTTGATTTGGACATTCCAAGGGTCTGCTGTCTAGTTAATTAAAGTAATTCCTTATGCTTTTATTTTGAAGGCGGTTTTGGGGCGCTTGTTGAAGACAGACAGGAAGTAAACACTAATGAAACTCACGCTGTGTTTGAGCCAGAGCTCCTTCAGAGCCGGCCTCAGCTTCTTGTGGACGACCACGTCCTGAAGGTCCTCCAGAGACGGATGCTGCCCCGCCTCTTCCTCGAAGGGAAGCAGGTACTCTCCCACCGGACCTGAGAGCAAACAACATGTCAGAGAACGTGTTCACCTGACACAAAGGGACTACAAAGAGACACAAAGGGACTACAAAGAGACACAAAGGGACTACAAAATAATACAAAGAGCCTTAATAAACGTATTATATTCTTTGCAAGCCTTGAGTTAGACTCCCCTGCTGTATATTCATATTTAGTAATGAATATATTACCGTCCACGGCCTTGCAGCGGGACACCAGCTCCCAGAGAATCAGACCCACGGCGTACATGTCGATCCTCAGGAAGGCGTCTCTCTGGAAGTTTATTGCTCCCTCTAAAACCTCCGGAGCCATGTAGCGCCTGGTGCCCACCTACACACACACACACACACACCCACACGTTAAACAGAATCAATCAGAATACCTTTATTCGTGCCACAGAGGGGACATTTACATGGAACACACACACACACACACACACACACACACACACAACACACACACACACACACACACACACACAACACACACACACACACACACACACACACACACAACACACACACACACACACACACACACACACACACCACACACACACACACACACACACACAACACACAACACACACACCACACACACCACACACACACACACACACACACACACACACACACACACACACACACACACACACACACACACACAGCTCACCTGTCCGTGTGTGTCTCCCGGAGGTTCACCGGCCTCGAAACGAACGGCGAGGCCGAAATCTCCGATTACCGCCGAGAGGTCCGAACTCAGCATTATGTTCTTACTCTTAAAGTCCCTGAGACACAGAGAGACACACAGTCACTACAGAGAGACACTAAAGGACTACAAAGAGACACTAAAGGACTACAAAGACACTAAAGGACTACAAAGAGACACTAAAGGACTACAGAGAGACACTAAATGATGATGAAGTAACAACATACTGATACCGGTTAGTAAAAACCATGAATTAATGCTTTGTCAAGTCTGCAGACAGACGGCAGGGGAAAAACCTTTTAAAATGCGTGTTTTCTAAATGGAGATTGGCTAAGCTAACGCAGTATATGCTCCGACCGTCCACACTCACAACAACAGCCTATACAGACATAAATAAAGCAGCGACTGTATTCACCATGACACAGACAGTCTGTGGTTTGTACTTGTTTAACTTTTGTCTAGTTTCTGAACAGATATGAGGAGCTGTGAGCTCTGAGTGCTAACAGCTAACGGCTGTGTTGGTTTTGGGGTTCTCATTGAAGAGGACGTCACGGCTCCGCCTACACTGCGTTACTATAGTAACTACCCCAGTTCCTAAACTGTAATGGAGACGCAGCATAAAGTGAGCCTGGCCTACCAAGGCCTAACGAGGCCTAGCCGTACCGTACTAAGCCGTGCGAGGCCCTGCAGTGGAAATGCGCCATAAATGACTACAGACACACACCTGTGAGCGATGGCAGGTTTGGGTCCCTCTCCTTTCATCTTTGGGATGTCTTCATGAAGGTAAGCGAGTCCACGTGCCATGGTCTCTGCGATGTGACAGAGCTCAGTCCAGCTGACGATGTTTCCCTTCAGGAAGTCACACAGAGAACCCTACAGACACACAGATTCATGTTCACACCCCAAAGACATCAGTTACTCAATAACTCTTATTAGATCAGATTAGATTCCTTTTATTGTCACTACAGCAAAACTCCAAGCATTCCCGATGGTGCGATCACACATAACAGACAGTATAAGATTCACATTGAACAGTGCGCTTACAAAACAATAACATTACCATACAACAACAACAACAATAGGCAGTAAAACATGTAAACAAGTGAAAAAGTAAGTTCTATAGACGGTAAGAGGTAGAATATGAGGTGCATTTGGATGTAAACATGGACTTAGTTGAGCATAAGTTCAGTTCAGTTCCATTAGATTGACTTGCTGTGTTCAGCTCACGTATGGCACGGGGCTAAAAGCTGTTCTTATGTATCACTGCTCACCCTCTCGTGGTACTCTGTGATGATCCAGAGCTCAGCATCCTGGTGACTCCCCCGTCTCTCCGAAGCGATGAATCTCAGGAGGTTTTCATGCCTCATCCCGGGAGAAACAAACACCTCCGTCTCCAACTGCCACGACTCCTTATTCTGAGGGGAAAGTAGAAAAAAAAAGCCAACGTTAGGCTATAAAGGAACTACAGCACGGTCACATGACTTCACCTCACCACCGCTAAGCTAAAGGAGGCTAATGTTGGGCTATAAAGGAACTACAGCACGGTCACATGACTTCACCTCACCACCGCTAAGCTAAAGGAGGCTAATGTTGGGCTATAAAGGAACTACAGCACGGTCACATGACTTCACCACCGCTAAGCTAAAGGTGGCTAATGTTGGGCTATAAAGGAACTACAGCACGGTCACATGACTTCACCTCACCACCGCTAAGCTAAAGGTGGCTAATGTTGGGCTATAAAGGAACTACAGCGCGGTCACATGACTTCACGTCACCACAGCTAAGCTAAAGGAGGCTAATGTTGGGCTATAAAGGAACTACAGCACGGTCACATGACTTCACATCACCACCGCTAAGCTAAAGGAGGCTAATGTTGGGCTATAAAGGAACTACAGCACGGTCACATGACTTCACGTCACCACCGCTAAGCTAAAGGAGGCTAATGTTGGGCTATAAAGGAACTACAGCACGGTCACATGACTTCACATCACCACCGCTAAGCTAAAGGAGGCTAATGTTGGGCTATAAAGGAACTACAGCACGGTCACATGACTTCACGTCACCACCGCTAAGCTAAAGGTGGCTAATGTTGGGCTATAAAGGAACTACAGCACGGTCACATGACTTCATGTCACCACCGCTAAGCTAAAGGAGGCTAATGTTGGGCTATAAAGGAACTACAGCACGGTCACATGACTTCACGTCACCACCGTTAAGCTAAAGGTGGCTAATGTTGGGCTATAAAGGAACTACAGCACGGTCACATGACTTCACGTCACCACCGCTAAGCTAACGGAGGCTAATGTTGGGCTATAAAGGAACTACAGCTCGGTCACATGACTTCACGTCTCCACCGCTAAGCTAAAGGAGGCTAATGTTGGGCTATAAAGGAACTACAGCACGGTCACATGACTTCACGTCACCACCGCTAAGCTAAAGGAGGCTAATGTTGGGCTATAAAGGAACTACAGCACGGTCACATGACTTCACGTCACCACCGCTAAGCTAACGGAGGCTAATGTTGGGCTATAAAGGAACTACAGCACGGTCACATGACTTCAGCTCTCACCTGAATGGGGAATATCTTCACTGCGACGCTCTCACTGATCATCATTCCCTTCCAGACGCAGCCGAACCTCCCCCTCGCCTTCACTTCCTGCAGCTGAATGGGACGCAGCCCCAGCAGGGGGGAGCCGGGGCCGGGGCCGGGGTCCTGGGGGGGAGAAAACAGTTTCAAAAAGCTAGCATAACTCAGAATGATTGCTGTATGAAAGATAAGATGGCGCCGGTGATGATGGCTGCCGTGTCTTTTGCTTTGAGTGAGTGAGTGAGTGAGTGAGTGAGTGAGTGAGTGAGTGAGTGAGTGAGTGAGTGAGTGAGTGAGTGAGTGAGTGAGTGTGTGTGTGTGTGTGTGTGTGTACCTCTGTGATGTCCACGTGTCCGTACGGAGGTTTTCGGTGTCGGTACATCCAGACGGCGCTGAGCAGCAGAACGGAGAGAAAACTGACCGGCAGGAAGCAGTAAAGCATCAGAGCCAAAACCCCCAGAGAGGGAGGTGCTTTCATCGCTGAAACAGAGAGAGAGGACTCTTTAAAGTAGAGACACTACATACTGATATACACCTGAACATCAGCAGGAGAGGACTCTTTAAAGTAGAGACACTACATACTGATATACACCTGAACATCAGCAGGAGAGAACTCTTTAAAGTAGAGACACTACATACTGATATACACCTGAACATCAGCAGGAGAGGACTCTTTAAAGTAGAGACACTACATACTGATATACACCTGAACATCAGCAGGAGAGGACTCTTTAAAGTAGAGACACTACATACTAATGCACACCTGAACATCAGCAGGAGAGGACTCTTTAAAGTAGAGACACTACATACTGATATACACCTGAACATCAGCAGGAGAGGACTCTTTAAAGTAGAGACACTACATACTGATATACACCTGAACATCAGCAGGAGAGGACTCTTTAAAGTAGAGACACTACATACTGATATACACCTGAACATCAGCAGGAGAGGACTCTTTAAAGTAGAGACACTACATACTGATATACACCTGAACATCAGCAGGAGAGGACTCTTTAAAGTAGAGACACTACATACTGATATACACCTGAACATCAGCAGGAGAGGACTCTTTAAAGTAGAGACACTACATACTGATATACACCTGAACATCAGCAGGAGAGGACTCTTTAAAGTAGAGACACTACATACTGATATACACCTGAACATCAGCAGGAGGGGACTCTTTAAAGTAGAGACACTACATACTGATATACACCTGAACATCAGCAGGAGAGGACTCTTTAAAGTAGAGACACTACATACTGATATACACCTGAACATCAGCAGGAGAGGACTCTTTAAAGTAGAGACACTACATACTGATATACACCTGAACATCAGCAGGAGAGGACTCTTTAAAGTAGAGACACTACATACTGATATACACCTGAACATCAGCAGGAGAGGACTCTTTAAAGCAGAGACACTACATACTGATATACACCTGAACATCAGCAGGAGAGGACTCTTTAAAGTAGAGACACTACATACTGATATACACCTGGACATCAGCAGGAGAGGACTCTTTAAAGTAGAGACACTACATACTGATATACACCTGAACATCAGCAGGAGAGGACTCTTTAAAGTAGAGACACTACATACTGATATACACCTGAACATCAGCAGGAGAGGACTCTTTAAAGTAGAGACACTACATACTGATATACACCTGAACATCAGCAGGAGAGGACTCTTTAAAGTAGAGACACTACATACTGATATACACCTGAACATCAGCAGGAGGGGACTCTTTAAAGTAGAGACACTACATACTGATATACACCTGAACATCAGCAGGAGAGGACCTCTTTAAAGTAGAGACACTACATACTGATATACACCTGAACATCAGCAGGAGAGGACTCTTTAAAGTAGAGACACTACATACTGATATACACCTGAACATCAGCAGGAGAGGACTCTTTAAAGTAGGTTAAAAGGTGATAAACTCACGAGGTCCCGGCAGGTGTTTGAACATCTCGTTGCAGAAATCTCCTTCACAGCAGCAGAAAAACACCTGAGGACTTTCTTCTGTCGCCACACAGTCCTGCCTGAGAGACACAGAGACACAGAGACATCAGGAATAATTCATCACAACACCTGCTTCCTGTCCGTCTTCTTCTTCTGCTGTTCCTGTGTTTACCTTCTGCAAAATGTCGTTTTGCATAATTTTATCCTAGTTTTAAGTCTCTTTGTGGTCCTTTAGCATCTATTTGCTAAAGTGTGTGTGTGTGTGTGTGTGTGTGTGGTGTGTGTGTGTCTGTGTGTGTGTGTGTGTGTGTGTGTGTGTGTGTGTGTGTCTGTGTGTGTGTGTG